GTGGGTACCCACTGTGCTGTGCCCCTCAGCAGGCTTCGAAAATGGCGACAGTTTCACAGATCGCAGCCCCACAGGGATGGCGAAGTCTAATTTGAATCTGCGGTGGGTACCCACTGTGCTGTGCCCCTCAGCGGCCCTCGAAAGTGGCGACAGTTTCACAGATCGCAGCCCCCCAGGGATGGCGAGGTCTAACTTGAATCTGCGGTGGGTACCCACTGTATGTACTGTGCCCCATCAGCAGCCCTCGAAAGTGGCGACATTTTCACATATCGCAGCCCCCCAGGGATGGCGAGGTCTAATTTGAATCTGCGCGTGGCGTCACTGCGTTGGGCCCCCCAGCAGGCTTCGAAAGTGGCGACAGTTTCACAGATCGCAGCCCCCCCCCCCAGGGATGGCGAGGTCTAATTTGAATTTGCGTGTGGCGTCACTGTCCTGGGCCCCCCCAGCAGCCTTCGAAAGTGGCGACATTTTCACATATCGCAGCCCCCCAGGGATGGCGAGGTCTAATTCGAGTCCGCGGTGAGTACCCACTGTGCTGTGCCCCCCAGCAGGCCTCGAAAGTGGCGGCGGTTTCACAGATCGCAGCCCCCCAGGGATGGCGAGGTCTAATTTGAGTCCGCGGTGGGTACCCACTGCGCTGGGCCTCCCAGCGGCCCTCGAAAGTGGCGACAGTTTCACAGACCGCAGCCCCCCAGGTACGGCGAGGTCTAATTTGAATCCGCGGTGAGTATCCACAGTGTTGGGCCCCCCAACAGGCCTCGAAAGTGGCGACGGTTTCACAGATCGCAGCCCCCCAGGGACGGCGAGGTCTAATTTGAGTCCGCGGTGCGTACCCACTGTGCTCGGCCCCCCAGCAACCCTCGAAAGTGGCGACAGTTTCACAAATCGTAGCCCCCCAGGGATGGCGAGGTCTAATTCGAGTCCGCGGTGGGTGCCCACTGTGCTGGCCCCCCAGCAGGCCTCGAAAGTGGCGACGGTTTCACAGATCGCAGCCCCCCCAGGGATGGCGAGGTCTAATTTGAGTCCGCGGTGGGTACCCACTGTGCTGGGCCTCCCAGCAGCCTTCGAACGTGGCGACAGCTTCACAGATCGCAGCCCCCCAGGGATGGCGAGGTCTAATTTGAGTCCTCTGTGGGTACCCACTGCGCTGGGCCTCCCAGCCGCCCTCGGAAATGGCGACAGTTCCACAGATCGCAGCCCCCCAGGGATGGCGAGGTCCAATTTGAATCCGCGGTGGGTACCCATTGCGCTGGCCCCCCCAGCAGCCTTCGAAAGTGGCGACATTGTCACAGATCGCAGCCCCCCAGGGACGGCGAGGTCTAATTTGAATCCGCGGTGGGTACCCACTGTGCTGTGCCCCCCAGCAGGCTTCGAAAGTGGCGACAGTTTCACAGATCGCAGCCCCCCCAGGGATGGCGAGGTCTAATTTGAATCAGCGGTGGGTACCCACTGTGTCGGGCCCCCCAGCAGGCCTTCGAAAGTGGCGACAGTTCCACAGCTCGAAGCCCCCCAGGGATGGCGAGGTCCAATGTGAATCCGCGGTGGGTACCCACTGCGCTGGGCCCCCCAGCAGGCCTCGAAAGTGGCGAAAGTTTCACAGATCGCAGCCCCCCAGGGATGGCGAGGCCAAAGGCAGGGGGGACGAGAGGGACGGGAGGGGGTGGGAAGGAGACGGGGGTGGGAAGGAGACGCGCGAGCAGTGCTCTATTCCAAACGAGAACCCAACGCAGGAGGGTTTGGGAAAACACACAGACATAAGAGAAAATGCCACGCCTGCCACGCCCCGCGACCCTGGGACGGATAGAATCCGCGGTGACGGACCACCCCCTGCGCACCCCCTGCGGAGTGGAGAACATGCCACGCCTGCCACGCCCCGCGACCCTGAGACGGACAGAGAGACCAGTGAGAGACCACCCCCTGCGCACCCCCTCTGGTGTCGAGAAAGTGCCACGCCTGCCACGCCCCACGACCCTGAGACGGATAGAGAGACCTGTGAGAAACCACCTTCTGCGCACCCTCTGTGGTGTCGAGAAAGTGCTACGCCTGCCACGCCCCGCGACCCTGAGACAGACAGAGAGACCAGTGAGAAACCACCCCCTGCGCACCCTCTCTGGCGCCGAGAAAGTGCCACGCCTGCCACGCCCCGCGACCCTGAGACGGATAGAGAGACCAGTGAGAAACGACCCTCTGCGCACCCTCTCTGGTGTCGAGAAAGTGCCACGCTTGCCACGCCCCGCGACCCTGGGACAGATAGAGAGACCTGTGAGAGACCACCCCCTGCGCACCCTCTCTGGTGTCGAGAAAGTGCCACGCCTGCCACGCCCCGCGACCCTGAGACGGATAGAGAGACCAGTGAGAGACCACCCCTGCGCACCCTCTCTGGTGTCGAGAAAGTGCCACGCCTGCCACGCCCCGCGACCCTGAGACGGATAGAGAGACCAGTGAGAGACCACCCCCTGCGCACCCTCTCTGGTGTCGAGAAAGTGCCACGCCTGCCACGCCCCGCGACCCTGAGACGGATAGAGAGACCAGTGAGAGACCACCCCCTGCGCACCCTCTCTGGTGTCGAGAAAGTGCCACGCCTGCCACGCCCCGCGACCCTGAGACGGATAGAGAGACCAGTGAGAGACCACCCCCTGCGCACCCTCTCTGGTGTCGAGAAAGTGCCACGCCTGCCACGCCCCGCGACCCTGAGACGGATAGTGAGAGACCAGCACCGAGAAAGTGCCACCAGACCCCACCCCCAGCGCACCCTCTCTGGTGACCCTGAGACGAGAAGAGACCACCCCCTGCGCACGAGAAAGTGCGCCTGCCACGCCCCGCGACCCTGAGACGGATAGAGAGACCAGTGAGAGACCACCCCCTGCGCACCCTCTCTGGTGTCGAGAGAAAGTGCCACGCCTGCCACGGCCCGCGACCCTGAGACGGATAGAGAGACCAGTGAGAGACCACCCCCTGCGCACCCTCTCTGGTGTCGAGAAAGTGCCACGCCTGCCACGCCCGCGACCCTGAGACGGATAGAGAGACCAGTGAGAGACCACCCCCAGCGCACCCTCTCTGGTGGCGAGAAAGTGCCACGCCTGCCACGCCCCGCGACCCTGAGACGGATAGAGAGACCAATGAGAGACCACCCCCTGCGCACCCTCTCTGGTGTCGAGAAAGTGCCACGCCTGCCACGCCCCGCGACCCTGAGACGGATAGAGAGACCAGTGAGAGACCACCCCCTGCGCACCCTCTCTGGCGTCGAGAAAGTGCCACGCCTGCCACGCCCCGCGACCCTGAGACGGATAGAGAACCGCGGTGAGAGACCACCCCCTGCACGTCTGTGTGCTGTTTGCCTGTTTGCTGCGTGTGCGTGCTGTGTCTGTTTGTGCTGGTATTGTGTACGGGTGCTGTTTGTGTGCTGTGTGTCTGTGTGCTGCGTGTATGGTGGATGTATGTGATGACTGTGATGTCGACTGTGGATGTGTGTCTGCTGTGTGCTCATGTGTCTGCTTGTGCTGATGTGGGGAACCAGAAAAAGAGAGAGGGAATCATCACACCAGCCCCTGGATGTGTGGAGGGAAGAGGGAAGGAGGGGTGAGGAGGAAGAGGAGAAACGCGGGTGCGACGCGGCAGGGAAAGAAAACCAGAACCCCACTTAGCATGTGGGGAAATATTGGAAAAGATGGGGAAGTTTTTAATTTGTGTGTATTGATTTGTATGATGGCATCGTCCGGTGAATCACCCACAACCTCCGCCTGGGCGCCTGGGAGTCGATCGGCAGCCAGACGGGGAGGCCGAGGACTGTGGCACTCGTCGGCTCTCGTGCGTTCAGGACGCCGGATGTCCAGGGAACCGCCCGACGTCCAGGCTTGTGTCGGGCGTGTCCCCCTACAGGGGGATTTTCGACGAGAAAAAAAAAAACAAGTACACCGAAAAGGTAAAGAAATACTCAAAAAAGAGTCCCCAGACTATTTTTGTTGTTTTTTGTTGTTGCATTTTTGGGGTGCGTTATATTTTTCGTCGGAAATCCCCCTGTAGGGGGACAGGCCCGACTTGAGTCCAGGCAAGGGCACCGCCGCCCGGCGCCGAGAGGGAAAAAAGAGGTCAACGGCACCGTAACGGGTACTTACTAACGGGTACATTGAATGTTTGCCGAAAGTTGCCACTTTAGGGCCTTTTTCTTGCATTGCAGCTTTGCCCACATCGGGAAGGGTTGGGTTCGCTGGGTCACTGGCCAAAGTACCCGTTAGTGGAGTCCCCGTTTGAGGGGCGCTGAAGAGGGCAGGAAGGACGCAGGGCGGCAGGGCGGGGAGAGGAGGAGCGGGGGCCTCGAGGAGAAGGCTGGGCCCAGTCGGCGTCCCGAGGGCACGGAGCGCAGCGCAGGGAACAGAGGGAGGAGGAGGAGGAGGAGGAGGAGGAGGAGGAGGAGGAGGAGGAGGAGGAGGAGGAGGAGGAGGAGGAGGAGGAGCAGGAGCCCCGTGCCCACTTTCCCGTTCGAGGGCTCGTTCGGCCTCCCCTCTGGTGTGGTCGGACAGGAAGGGGGCAGCGAGGGCGGCGAGCGGCGAGCACCCAACCTGGGCCCGCCCGCCGCGTCAGCGTCAGGAGTTGTCCGCTGGCAGTGAACTGTGGTCGGTCCGCCTTCTGCAGCAGAAGACTTCGGGACAGGCCCGCTCAACGAGACGTAGGGCTTCGAGTCTCCTGCCCACCGTCCGCAATCGGCCACGCGCAGAGGGGGGGGGGCAGGGGGAGGTCGGGAGGTTTCTTAGAAGCACCCCTGCTTCTTCGAAGGCGCGAGCCTTGTCTGTAGATGTAGGGCCGTCGCCCTCTAAGAAGTCTTCCCCCTCCCCCTAATTAGCCTCCTGTGCGCGCCGCCAACCGAAAAGGCTGCAATGTAGACACGCGAACGACCGAGCATCAGGATCAGGAGGAGGAGGCGGCAGAGGAGGACGACGAGCAGGAGGAGGAGGAGGAGGACGAGGAGGAGGAGGACGAGGAGCCGCCTGACCAACGGGGAGGCAGCGCCGCTCGGTGCTGGTGATCTCGCACCTGGCCGTCCAGAGGCCCGCCCCCTCCCCCCGCCGTTGGCAGCGACGGGCGGGGGAACTGGCCCAGCGGAGCACGCATCGACCTGTCGGCCGCACCTTCCTCGCCCTTCGGGTCCCGGGTCCCCCCCCTCCTCGCGCCCAGGGGCGTGCGGCTGTGCCGGTCCAGCGGCGAATCGTGCACCGCCGAGCCTCGTGCCAGAGCTCCCCTCCCCCCTCTGACCCAGAGCCCCCTGCTGCCCTGATGGTCCGCTACCGAAAATTTCCGGTGGCGCTCCGCAGAGATCGGTCGCTACCGAAATACCGAAATGCAGCGCCCAATACCGGTATCAGAGCGTTCCGAAATCCGCTATTTCAACGCCCTCAAACGAAGATCCGGTCGCTACCGAAATTCGGGGTGCGTCGAAATCGCTACCGAAAATTTCCGGTACCAGACCGTCTGGGAGTCCGATGCGCTCCGGGCTTCGCGATGCGAGGCCGACGGATCCCTTATGTGGATGGGGACGGGGGAGCTGCAGCGGGAGCCGGAGCGGGGGCGGGAGCGAGAGCGCTGGCACGAGCAGCAGGAGGAGGAGGAGGAGGAGGAGGAGGAGGAGGAGGAGGAGGAGGAGCAGGAGCAGGAGCAGGAGGAGCAGGAGCAGGAGCAGGAGCAGGAGCAGGAGGAGTGGGAGGAGGAGGAGGAGGAGGAGGAGGAGGAGGAGGAGCAGGAGCAGGAGGAGCAGGAGCAGGAGGAGGAGGAGGAGGAGGAGGAGGAGGAGGAGGAGGAGGAGAAGGAGGAGGAGGAGGAGGTGGCGCAAGCCCTCCCTCCCCCCCCGGCGAGCGGCAGCCGCTCGGGCCTCGGCCCGGCACCGGCTGCCCCCCGGGGGCACGCCGGTGCTCCGCGCGGGGGGGCTTCGCGCCGCCTGCCCGCCAGGCCTCGCGAGGGGCGAGGGCGCACTGCCCTCCCTCCGTAGGGGAACAACAAGTGACATACCCATCGGTCGTTGAAAGTAGGTATTTGTGGATTCCCAGATTCCAATCTACTTTCAGCGCCTTCCTACTTCAAGAGTCGAGTGGTTCTCCCTCTTCCCTCCTCTTCGGGAGGCGGGCGGAAGCCCAATCTATTCCCAACGCCTTCCTACTTCATGTTTCTACCTACTTCTTCCGACCGATGGGTAAACATAAAAACTCGGAGGTCCGCGCGGATTTCTCGGATCGGCGCTGGGGCCCCCCAGCGGCGCCTCCGGCGCCGCCCCTAGCGCGCTCCGCGCGCCAGGGAGGGGGCCCCAGCGCCGATCCGAGAAATCCGCGCGGGCCTCCGCGTTTTTATGCTTATGCCACTTTTTGTTCCCCTACTCCCGCCCCCCCTCTCCCATCTGACCCGTCCTCGCCGCAGCCCCGTGGCCGTGGCCGAGCCAGGGCCCAAGACCGACAGCGGCCGCTGTTGGGCAGGCAGCCTTCTGTCTCGAGTGGCCAACGTCCGCGGCGACACCGGCAACGACTTCAGAGATCCGACGTCGTGATTTTTTCCATACGGGGTCCCTGGAAGTCTCGACGCATTCCCCAGGACCAGTTTTTCATCCTGCGTCGTTTTCTGACGGTCCCGGGGCCCGGCGAGGGCCCCCCCTCGAGGCCGAAAAATACGAAAAACCTCCGCTTTGATGTTTCAATGCGTTGGATCTTTTCGGGACTCCCGTGCAATATGGCCAGAAATTGAGGGTGTCCCTCCCCTGACGCGGGCAATATTTATATCCATATCCATTGCGTCTTGGACTTTCTTGGAAGGGGCGCCGCAAGGCCGAGGCGCACTGGATATGGATAAAAATTGAGCCTTCTGGAGGCAGATTATAATCCATATCCAGTGCGCCTCATGCTTCTTGGGAAGAGAGTCCGAAACTCCCAGACGCACTGGATGTGGATAAAGACATTGCCCTCCCCTGACGCTCCGCCCTCTCTCCGCCCCCCCGCCGCTCGTCCATCTCCGCCGCCCGCCTCCCGCTCCTCGGCGGCCGCCCGCGCGGGCCGCGGCGCCGAGAGGGGCCGCCGGCTCCTCCGGAGGGCCGAGGCTCGCGACGCGCAAGTGGGGCTCGAGGTGGACGGAATTCGGGCGTGCCGCTGCTGATTCAGCGAGCGAAGAACAGTATCCGATGCATCGCCGATGCGGCTCGATGCGGAGCCCGATTTTCTCCACGCGGACGTCGCCGATACATCGACGATGCATCGCCGGTGCATCGCCGATGCATCGCCGATGCATCGCCGATGCATCGGCGATGCGGCGCGATCCCCCGACCCCACCTACTCTTAAGTCGGGCCTGTCCCTCTACAGGAGGCATAGTCAAAAATAGTCAATAAAATACGATGTTGTTTACCATGTTTGAAAGATTGTTAGCATACTTTCTTGGCTCAACCCATCTGGGAGGCCTCTAGTGCAGTGCCTGCAGCGGGATCTTGCGTCAAGTGTTGTTGCTGACGGCCCCGTCGGGCAAGAGCTCGTGCCCCCCAATACTCGAGCCTCCCCGAACTCGAAGACCGGGTGCGTCTCTGGATCGAGCAGCGCGCATCTGGAGCTGAGGCCCGAGGATCTAGGATCGAGCAAGCTTTGCGGCGATGTGCCCCCCCCGCCCGCCCGGTGTGTGTGTGTGTGTGCTTGTGTGTTGCCCCCGCCGGTGGACGTCGGCGCAAGCCATGCCGCAGGCCGGTGCCCGGTGCGTGGCCGGCAGAGGCTCTGAGGTGGTCCAAGGTGGCCGTCAAGACGCCCGCACCCAGCCGTGGTGGCTCGGGCCGCAGGCGCCCGCGGCGCACGCGGGGCGGGCCCTCCGCGGGGCGCCCCGCGCGCAGCCATGCGCGGCGGAGCGCCCCACGCCTGGGCGCAGAGCGCCGCCGAGCCGCCCTGGCTGCAGGTCGGCGGCGGCGGCGAGGCCTCGCCCAGCCTGCAGGTCCAGCTCGACCACGCGGCGCCGGCGGCTCACCTCCAGGTTTGGGATGTTCCAACCTGCTGTAGCCTTGATCGCCAGGAAGAGCTTCGAGCACCAAGGAAAGCACCGAAACGTGCGTGTCGGGCCCTGGGAGACACTCGCTCGGCACTGTTCTGACACTGTTTCGACACTTTTCTGGGTGCTCGACATTGTTTCTGGGATGTGGCCCTTAAGTACGATGGGAGCAACATAACTCCAGGTGGAGGTTCTTCCTTCGGGCCGTCCCCCGCGCCGCCGCCTGCAAGAGTTTGGCTCGTTCGTGGACGGCGGGGGCGAGGAGAAGCAGGGCCGGACCCAGGTCAACGTCTGCCGCGAGGGGTACCGCTGCATCTCGCGCGCCCGCCGCTTTGGCTACGACCACTCGGGGCCGCTGGACGCGAACAAGGCCAGAGAGGTCAAGGACCCCATGACTGAGGACTACGAGTGGAACTGCCCTTTCCACGGGGCCTGGATGTCCGATATGTACGAGTCTTCACCGAACCACGAGAAGACCTTCTGCAATGATGATTCGGATGACTGCCTGTGCGTAACGCGAGGCTCTGGTAACTACCAGGCTATTCTTCACGATGGGAAAGAGAGGATCTTCGGTGAGTTTGAAATTCAACCCGATCGGATCGCAGCCGAGACAACGAAGAGGAAGCTCTCCGTGATACCGCACTACCCGATTCGCAAGGTCCCATTACGGTTCAACATTGAGGATCCGGAATCCGAAATGGGCTCCGTGTTCACAGTCCCTGCGGAGAAGTGGCTTCAGGAGTACAAGGCCGAGGCGCCCAAGCTGCAGCTCGCCCTGGACCAGCTGGTGTCGTGGATCCGCAGAAACTTCGCCGAGAGGGTTCAGGATAAACCCTTCGTGTGCGGGGAGGCGGCATCTCCCGAGGAGCACCCGTCTTTCTCCAAGTCGGAGACCACGGCAGCGCTGTCCTCGATCCAACGGTTTCAGATCCTCCAGAGGGACTGCGAGTCGATGAGGGACACGGTGGTGAAGCTGGCGTCCACGCCGGATGGAGAAGGCTTCGCCCCGGACGGGTCCCAAGGCTCCCACAAGCTGAACTGCCACGACCTCCCGGATGGCTCCTGCAGGCAGCTGAACTGCTACTCCGGCGCGGACGACGCGCAGCTCCGCGCTGACATCCAGGTCTTCAAGGCTCGCATGGACCAGTGCAGGCCGGAGCGAGACCTCCCCGAGGAGGAGCCCGCCGGGGCACCCGCGCCTGCGCCGCCGCCGCCGCAGCCGGCGGCCAACGACGGCGCTGCGGCAGCCGCGGGGGCGCCAGCCGCGGCGCCGACCGGCGGCCCGCCCGCGCCCAAGCAGGCCTCCTCCTCCTCCTCCTCCCTCCTCCTCCCTCCTCCTCCTCCTCCTCCTCCTCCTCCTCCTCTCCTCCCTCCTCCTCCTTCCTCCCTCCTCCCTCCCTCCTCCTCCTCCTCCTATCCTCCTCCTCCTCCTCCCTCCTCCTCTCTCTCCTCCTCCTCCTCCTCCTCCTCCTAGGCGCGGGCCTGCTGGCCGCGCGCCGGGGCGCGGCCGCGGCGGGCGCGCGCCGCGGCGCCCGCGGCCGGGCGCCTCGCGCGCGCCCCGCGCGCGGGCGGGTCCTGGGGGCGTTCCTGTGACGGCTATCGGCCGGGTGCCCGGAGCCCGCGCCGCGCGCGCGCGGCCTGCGAGGGGGGCGGGCCTGCGGGGTCGCGCCCTCTGTGGAGGGGGGAGGCCTCCGCCCGCCCGCCTCCCTCCTCGGCCGCCTCCTCCTGGGGGGCCTTCCTGTGACGGCTATCGGCCGGGGTGCCCGGAGCCCGTGCCGCGCGCGCGGCCTGCGAGCCCTGACCTTCCAGAGGGCTATGTTGTTAGCACTGGAGGCCTCAAAACCTGAAAAAGCTGAGCGAGACAGCCCAAAGCCAAGACGTAGAACAGCTCTGGGATAGGTTTTGAAGTCGGGTGCTATCTTTTAGCCCTCCATGGAAGGTCAGGGAGGGGCGGGCCCGCAGGGTCGCGCCCCTTGTGGAGGGGGGAGGCCTCCGCCCGCCCGCCCCTCTCCTCGGCCGCCGCCTCCCCGAGAACAGGAGCAGATGGCCTCGAAGGCGCCGCCGAGGCGCCCAGGACGGCCCCGAGGTGGCCGGACACGAGCTCAAGGCGTCCGAAGAGGCCCGAACTATTGCCCGTGAAGGCTCCAAAAGGACCAGATGCCCATGAGGTTTTCGACGGACTGTCGTGCTCGATCTTCTCTTGGCTTCCACAGCCACCGACCGTCCCCCACGACGAAGACGGCCAATAGGGCCCCAAGATGGCTCAATGGTTTCAAGAGGCCTCGAGACGGCTCGAAGACGGCCGAAGAGACCCCCACCGAGACGGCCGTACAGGGCCCCCGGACGGCCCAGGGACGCCCCCCAAGCTGCTTCCGAAGGTGCCAGACGGCCCGAAGATGGTCCAAGCGGCCCCCTCAGATGTCCCGAGCACCCCCAAGAGGCCCAATCAGCCCCACAACTCTCATACAGTCGAGGCGTTGACCTAAGGAATCCTAAATAAGGAACGAGGCCCCTTTTTCCCATAAGTTCAACTTCGATTTCCCATGGAAAACCTCCGGGAAACCCGAGGCAAACTTTGAAACAATCAAGGAACACCGAGCCCCTCCCAAACGAAAAGGGTTCCTTCTTCAGCGCCCCGACTGTACTCTGCACTTCTGGGCGCGCCCCACGGGAATCGAGAGGAATCCCCAGGAGCCCGCCAGAGAGCACACGAACCTCCAAGAGGCCCCAGGAGGTTCCGTGGAGAACTGCACGGACGACGCAAAATGCTTCGAGCAGTTTTCCCCAACCATCCTGTGGTGCTTCAGGAGGGAAAAAGCAAACACAGACACAATCAATCGTCGATTCCCCAGAAAATATTTGGAAAAATATTGGAAGTGGGGAGAAGACAGACACCCAGAAAATATGGGAAAATATTGGGAATACTGTTATTTGTGTGCATTTATTTGTGTGTCCCAGGGCCCCTTCAGAGTGTTGGGTCCTCGTTTTGAAGAGACAGCGCCCCGCGTTCCTCTTCCTCCCGCTGCCCCCTCCCTCTCATCATCATCGTCGTCATCATCGTAATCCGCATCATCGTCATCCGCATGGCCGCGCCGCCCCATTTTGGCACACCCCTCACACGTTTCGTGGCCCTATAAGAGAACTCCATCTAAGGCCCCATTGGCGTAGTTCGCATGGCGGCGCCGCCCTATTTTGGCACACCCCTCACACGTTTCGTGGGTGGCCCCAAAGGGAGCTCCACCGAAGGTCCCAGTGGCGCAGTTCGCATGGCGGCGCCGCCCCATTTTGGCACACCCCTCACACGCTTCGTGGCCTTAAAGGGAGCTCCACCTAAGGTCCCAGCGGCGTAGTTCGCATGGCGGCGCCGCCCCATTTTGGCACACCCCTCACACGTTTCGTGGCACCATAGGGAGCTCCACCTAAGGTCCCACTGTCGCAGTCCGCATGGCGGCGCCGCCCCATTTTGGCACACCCCTCACACGTTTCGTGGCCCTATAAGAGAACTCCATCTAAGGCCCCATTGGCGTAGTTCGCATGGCGGCGCCGCCCTATTTTGGCACACCCCTCACACGTTTCGTGGGTGGCCCCAAAGGGAGCTCCACCGAAGGTCCCAGTGGCGCAGTTCGCATGGTGGCGCCGCCCCATCTTGGCACACTCCTCACTCGTTTCGTGGCCCAAGGTCCCAGTGGCGCAATTCGCATGGCGGCGCCGCCCCATTTGCGTATACCCCTCACACATTTCGTGGCCCCATTTGGGGTTCCACCTAAGGTCCCAGGGCGCAGTTCGCATGGCGGCGCCGCCTCATTTCGGCACACCCCTCACACGCTTGGTGGCCCCATAGGGAGTTCCACCTAAGGTCCCAGTGGCGCAGTCCGCGTGGCGGCGCCGCCCCATTTTGGCACACCCCTCCTCACACGCTTCGTGGCCCCATAGGGAGGTCCGTCTAAGGTCCGGTTCGCATGGCGGCGCCGTTCAATTTTGGCACACCCCTCGCACGTTTCGTGGCCCCATAGGGAGCTCCACCGAAGTCCCCAGTGGCAGCGCCCGCATGGCGGCCCCGCCCCATTTCGGCACACCCTTTACGCGCTTCCTGGCACCATCAGGAGATCCACCGAAGGTATTACTAACACAACGACGGTATTCACAACTGCATATGGTTGGGTCCTCCGCCAGGCTAATTCTTAGTCTGACGTTTTCCCAGTCGCATTTCTGCGGTGAACCTCTCCAGAGCCCCGAAGAATACGGCCCAGACAAGACTCACCAATCGCTTCCAAAACGCCAAGCAGGACAGCCCCCAGGAAGGGTCGCGGAAGCCAAATGTTAACCCCAAGAGGCCTTCGATGGCACCACGGCCCTTGCTTCCTTCTTCAAAAGCAAAGTTGACAACATCGGAGCCACCATAGAGCTTCCTCTTTAGTTGTTCCCTCCCTGCGCTGAAGGCTCAAATGCCAGGCTCTATGTTGACGCAGGCACTTCAGCTGTCTGTGCTCATCGCACTGAGCCCGCTTGACATCTTCTGGTGGTTTGGGCGCTGCACGCATAATGTTCCGCACAGTCGGAGACGGATGTGTCGTTCGTGACAGCGTTGGTCCGCCCCGTGCGGTTGGTTGTGGCAGGTCTTGGTGAGGATAGCCAACCACACGCCCAAACTCTGGAGACGGACAGGACCAGGGGTGCCCGAGAAATATGGCAGGTCCAGTCCTAGACCAAGGGGTGCGCGACAAGGACTTCAACGCGGGTGCACATCACGTCTTGCCTCTGCCAGTGTTGTGGGGATGTTCGGCAAACTTTTGGCCATCAGCCGAAAACCTCGCAGAAACCCGACTTCGGAGCGGGGGCTCAGCGTCCACGCGACGTTGTCGTCTCGAGACCAGCCTTCTTTGGCGTTCGGCCCCAGTACTGAGAGACGAGGCCGCTTCAGAATTGGGGGCTTCGCAGGTGCGGCCTGGCGTTGCTGCCGCGTCCGCGTGCGAGTCCGGCAGCTTGGCCCCGACGGCCGCGGAGGCCAGGGTGAGCCTCCCGAGCGAGGTCCCCCACGAGCGCCTAGGAACAGCAGGGGTCCGGTGGCTCTCACCGCTGGGCCGTGGTGGGCGTCCGTCCAAGGGAAGCGGGGGGACCCGGCGGATGGCCAGCAATGTATCAGCCGGGGGGCGGCGATGTCAGGAAAGAGGGGGCACTTGTTTCCCCCTTTGCTCTGGAGGTTCAAAATCCAGGCTCCAGGTTGGCGCAGGCAGTTCATCTGTCTGCGCTCGCCGCTCTGACCCCGCTTGACATATTCTGGCGATTGGGGTAATGCACACAGTGATGTTCCACGCAGTCGGAAACAAAGGCGTCGTTCATGAAAGCGTCGGCTTGCCCCGCGTTGTTGGTTGTGGTAGGTCCTGATGAGGATAGCCAGCCACGCGCCGAAATGCTGGGGACGGACAGGACCAGGGGTGCCCGAGAAAGTTGGCAGCCTCAGTCCTAGACCAAAAGGTGCACGACTTCAACGCGGGTGCACATTTTGTCTTGCATCTTCCAGTGATGCGGATAGGTTTGGCGAACTTATGGTTATCAGCCGAAAATCTCGCCGAAGCTCGACTTCGGCGCAGGAGCCCAGCGTCCACGCGACGTTGTCGCGTTGAAACCAGCCTTCGCCGGCGCCCGGCCCCGGTTGCCAAGAAAAGGAGCAATAGTCGCCTTAGAAAAGGAGGCTCCGCAAATGTTTTCCGATTTCGATGCCGTGTCCGAATACGAGTCCGGCAGCTTGGCCCCGACGGCCGTGGAGGCCACAGTGGGCCTCTCGAGCGAGGTGTCCAAAGAGCGCCTAACAGCAGGGGTTAGGTGGCTCACGCCCTTGTGCCGCGGTTGGCATCTGTTCAAGGGATGCGGGGGCACCCGGCAGATGGCCACCAATGCATCAGCTGGGGGGCGGCGCTGCCACACAAGAAGGGGCAGTTGTTTGCTCCCTGCCTCGAATACCCAAAAACCAGGCTCTACATTGACGCAGGCAGTTCATCTGTCTGCGTCATCGCTCTGAGCCCGCTTGACATCTTCTGGCGGTTTGGGCGTTGCACACAGTGGTGTTCCACGCAGTCGGAAACGGAGGTGTCGTTCGTGACAGCGTCGGCCTGCCCCGCGTGGTTGATTGTGGCACATCCTGCTGAGGGAAGCCATCCACACGCCGAAACGCTGGAGACGGACAGGACCAGAGGTGCCCGAGAAAGTTGGCCGACTCAGTCCTAGACCAAAGTGTGCGCGAAAACGGATTCAACGCGGGTGCACATTACGTCTTGCATTTTCCAGTGATGTGGGGATGTTTGGCAAACCTTTTCTTTCCCCTTCATTTCCCCCTCCTTCCTCTTCCCATCCTGCTGCCTGGCTCCTCCTTTCGTTACCGTTCGCGCCAACCTTCCCTGTTTGATGCGTGTCCACTTGTGTTTCAAGGTCGTGGATCGTGAATGTGTCCGCTCTTGCGTTTTCGGATGTTCGGGGGGGATCCTGAGACGGGCTCCTCCTCGAGGAGGTGGCGACCCCTCCCAAATGGTGATTCGTTGGCGGCGTGCTCGCAGGATCTGGCGACGACGACGTCGACGTCGACAATGTGGCAACGCGCACCATGGGGGCGACGCGAGGGGGGCGGCCATCTAGGGAGGCGGAGGGCTTCTCAGAAGGAAGGGGCCTTCTCACAAGGCCGCTTCCCTCGCTCCACCCCCTCTTGTGTGCGTGCCGCAGGGCGGCGTCGACATCGACGACGACGTCGACGCTGCCGTTCCGGAAAAGTTTTTGGGGCGCTCTCGGAGGGCACGGCGCCTGTGGCGGGCAGCGTGCTCGCAGGGCTTGAGCGTAGCGCGGTGGGGCGAGGGGGCGTCGTCGACGTCGACGTCGTCGCCGTTAGGAGCGATTTCTCTCCAGCCCTGTCCTGTGGGGGGACTTCCGTTTGCGTGTGTAGTGCTCCCCTCGGGGGGTTTGGGGGGGGCACGGTCGAGTTTCTGACATTGGGCACAGTTCGGGCTCGGAAGGGGATGGTAGCACGGTTTGAGTGCAGCCCCCCGGAGCCTGCCCCTTGCCGCAGGCAGCGCGCCAGCGGAGCCCGGCCGAAATCCTGCACTCGGCTCTGGACGCCCGAAATGGGCACGGAAAGAATGGGTACTATGCCCAACGGCAGTTCCTGTTCATTTTGAACAAGATCCGCTGTCCACGCCGCCGCGGCCTGTGTCCATTCGAGACAGAAGGCCGCCTGCCCGACAGTGGCCGTTGTTGGTTTGGGACAACATTTGTTGTTGGGCATCGTACCCGTTCTTTCCGTGCCCATTTCGGGCGTCCAAATCGGCGTCCCATGGGCGGCCCACGGGCGGCCCAGGGCGAGGAAAGGCCGAGGCGGCTCCCTCGAGAGCACCCAGATGGTCTGGTACCGGAAATTTTCGGTAGCGATTTCGACGCACCCCGAATTTCGGTAGCGACCGGATCTTCGTTTGAGGGCGTTGAGATAGCGGATTTCAGAACGCTCTGATGCCGGTACTGGGCGCTACATTTCGGTATTTCGGCAGCGACGGATCTCTGCGGAGCGCTACCGGAAGTTTTCGTTGGCGGACCATCAGGGCAATGAAGAGCCACAGGTGTCGGGGGAGCGTAAGACCTGGGTTTGCCAGGACTCGGGTTCGCCATCGTTTTTTGACGACCGCGCCTCGGATTTTGACGAGGAGGAGTTTTGTGGGATGTCTGCAGCGGGAGGCCTCGTCAAAATGCAGGCTCGGCCTCGTCATTTTTTTGACGACCTCGTCGGGGATTTCCGAGTCCCCCGTACCCGGGTCTTACGTCTCCCCGAAAGATACACTAAATCTGGTCGGACGGTGCCCCAGGATCCCTCCATGGGAGTGCCGGCATTTGATCCCCGACCCCATTGCCATCAGCGCCAGCGCCAGCAGGCGGGGGAAGACGAGGGGGAAAACGCAGGAGGTGAGGGGAAACGTCGAAGAACGGGGGGTCTGTGGGTGGGAGGAGGAGGAGCAGAAGGAGGGGGGGGAGGAGGGGGAGGAGTAGAAGAGGGGTGACCTGGAGGAGGAGGAGGAGGAGGAGGAGGAGGAGGAGGAGGAGGAGAAGGATAACAAGGAGGATCATGATGATGACGAGGAGGGAGTAGAAGGAGTGCGATGACACGGGGAACGAGGAGGAGGAGGGAAGGGGATGGTGTGCCAGGGCAGGCATGCATCAAACGAAGGAGGGTGAGGATGCGGAGGGGGAGGCGAAAGAGGAGAAACTGTGCGAATGCCCTGGCAGCCCTGATTCAAGCCAGGTGCCTGTACGCGTACTTCACAGGCTGCCCTATACAGGACGCCGCGACGACGACGAGGAGGAGGAGGAGGAGGAGGAGGCGAAGGAGAGGATGTGAAAACGGAGGAGGAGCAGGGAGCAAAACGGGGGGGAGGAGGAGGAGGAGGAGGAGGAGGAGGAGGAGGAGGAGGTGGAGGAGGAGGTGGAGGAGGAGTCTGCAGAGGTAAGGGAGAGGGTGGATACCGTGTGGAGGGGAGGATTATACAGGAGAGTGCAATTTGCAGGGATCCTGACGATTGGGAAGAGGAACGTTATCATAATGAGGAGGGAGGCATCGAAGCAAGAAGAGTAAAGACAGGCAGGATGATGATGGGAGCGAGCCCTTTCTCCTCCTCCTCCTCCTCCTCCTTCCTCTTTGCCCCTCTCCATGTGTCGTGGTCTTACGACCAGCACCGTCGGCGCCGTGACCATTCAAGCACGAGAAGCAGCCAGGCCCTTAAGACCAAGTGTGTTGCCCGAGGGCCTCACCCCAACACTGGGAAGCCGTTGGCTGTTGAAGCCACGGTCCTAGCATTCCACACCGATCACAACGCGCTAGATCATGTGCCGACTCCGGCGCATCTCAGCTGCACAAGACTCTGGCGATGCGCGTTTGGCGATTCGCGCCCAGTGTGGTCATCAGGAGCCCGCCCTCAGGCTACGGCGACTCCTCCTCCTCTTCCTCCCCCTCTTCCCCCTCCTCTTCCTCCTCCTCCTCCCCCTCCTCTTCCTCCTCCTCCTCCTCCTCCTCCTCCTCCTCCTCCTCCTCCTCCTGCTCCCCCTCCTCCTCCTCCTCCTCCTCCTCCTCCTCCTCCTCCTCCTCCTCCTCCTCCTCCTCCTCTTCTGTCCCCCTCTCCTCATGCTCCTCTCCCTTTTCTCCTTGCGACGTCGTCGTCGCGGTCGTCGCCCTCCGCGCGCGCCGTCTGAGGACACGCCGTACCTGGAGCTGCCCATGCACACAGTGGTCTGGGCGTGAGGACGGGGAGAAGGAGGCAGGAATGATGGAGGATCAGGGGGCGCAGGGCGAGGAGGAGGACGGAGGAGGAGGAAGGAGGGAGGGACAAGGAGAAGGAGGAGGAGGAGGACCAGGAGCAGGAGCAGGAGGAGGAGGAGGAGTGAGAGGAGAAGTCGGAGGATGAGGAGAAGAAGGAGGAGGAGGAGGAGGAGGAGGCAGAGGGGGGGAGGGAAGGGGGGAGGAGGAGAAAACAGGGGTGGGAGTCTTTTGGAGAGGCACTCGGAGGGGTGTCTCCGGTGCGGACCCAAAGAGGCGTCTGGGAACCTCTCTTCCTCCATCTCGTCCTCGTCCTCGTCCTCCTCGTCCTCCTCGTCCTCCTCCCTCTCCTTCTCCTCTTCCTCCTTCTCCTCCTCCTTCTCCTCCTCCTCCTCCGCTTCGCCTCCTACTCCTTGTTGTCTGTTTCATTATCATCATCGGTGTCCTCGTCCTCCCTGCCTCCTCCGCTCCTCTTCCTCGTTTTCCTTGTTGTCTTCCTCCTCCCTCCTCCTCCTCCTCCTCCTCCTTTTTCTCCTCCTCCTCCTCCTCCTTTTCCTCCTTCTCCTCTTCTTCCTCTTCCTCGCTCGCCTCCTACTCCTTCTACTCCTCCTTCTGCTTCTCCTGTTTACCTCGTTATTGTAATCATCCTCTTCCGCCGTGCCTCCTCCTCCTGCCGTTTTGGCCCAATATCCGCCTGGCAGACAGGCAAACATCGGGTACCGCTGATCCAGTGCAGGTACCCAGCCTGGGCCGCGCAGGCTGGCTGGTGCGCTCTGGGGCGGGCAGATCCTTTCGAATCCTCGGGATTGGTCTGGTGCTCCTGTTCGAGAGCTCATCATGGCCTGGAAGTGGGCGACCTTGAGCATGGGCAGTCAGGCCGAGGACGAGAAGCTGGACCGGTTCTGCTGCGGGGGCTGCAAGAACTACCGCGGGCAACGATGGTGGAACTTGGGATCGATTGAGACATGTTCGCGATGCAATGTCCACGAAGGCGAGAGCTTCGGAGGCAACCGTCTACGCAAGTAGCCACCCAAGCGGGCCCCAGGGATCTCTGAGAGCAAGCTCAGCAGCGAAAGCGAGAAGATCAAGGAACCGATCCAGGAGGCGCTGGGCAAGGACTTCAGCGGCAGCGAACTCATGGACATCGACGAGAGCGACGGATGCGGAAAACCACTAAGTGCAGCCAAGCGCAAGCGAGCTGACTTGCTCGCAAAAGATCAAGCACTTCAAGTTCCGTGATGACGGGAAGGACTCCGACGACCAGATCACCAAGTTCCAGATTGAGCTGGATTGCCCCCGATCACCAACTACAAGACGCCAAGCCGCTGGACGCGAAACTGCGGATCGTCAGACTGGAGGGCGAGCGATACGAGGATTTGTTTGCCAAGCAAGTCCATGCTGTCGAGTATTACCAGGGGAAGTGGGGGAGGCGGTCCCGGAGCTGGACGGAGCAAAGCAGAAGCACAGCGCGCACGCAGCGGACCTGGCAGAGGCGATGGCCAAGGATGAGGCGCTGGCAGCAAGCGAAGTGGTGGCCACTGCTCGCAGCGAGCGCGGCTGCGCTAGCGAGACGCGGGCCATCGACGTGGCCGCCCTGGTCCAGAAGCTGGAGCCGAACGGCATCGCAAAGGTGCAGTCAAAGAAGTTGGCGGAGGTGTTGGCCGCAGTGTTGCCGTCGATCATGGTCGTACCCACGACGCAGCAGCATGCATCTGCTCATGCTCGGGAGCCGAAGCAAGCAACTGCCGCCATCAACATCGACGCGGCGTCAACGGCCGAGCTCATCGAGGCATTGGGAAGAGCGCGGCCCAAGTGCGTGGAGGGCGCCATACCGCGGTGGGACATTCGGGAGCCTTCGCGGCGCTGCCCGTCGGGCTGCGTGTTTCCCGATGGCAGGCAGCGCAATGCAGGATGGTGACTTCGATCACTCCGAAGACATCGGCAACGACATCTACGCACGAGGGCAGCGGGCGGGGCGCAGAGGTCAGAGATGGCCATGAAGGCACGACGCTCGCAGACGAGGCGCGATGGCACGGGGCGCGCGCAGCGCTAGTGCCAAGGCACCCAGGACCTGCGCGCAGGCATTCCAGGGCGCGGTTCCCGACATGGCGCCCCCGGCACGCTCGCGGGGGCGATGGGCAACGTCGGGCGCCAGAACTGAGTTATTCCGGAGGGCGGCAGCAAACGCGGAGGTCCTTGCCGCGGTGTTCGGAGGCGCAGAGGGGTTCGGGCACCAGGCCGCGCCCGCAGGGGCATTCCAGGGCGCGGCCCTCGCCACGGCGGCCACTTGCGCGCGCGGCGCGGAGGGCGGGGAATCCGGGCCAGAGCGACGGGGCGGGCGCCCCTCAATCCCCGGCCCACAGGCGCGGCCGATGGCATCTGAAGGCAATCCTCTGACGAGCAGAACGCCGACGACAGTGAATTCGGACCGGAGAGAGGTGGCGGGCGCTCCTCGAGCGCGCCGCCAATCGCATCGCCAAGTGGTTTCGTTTGAGGAAAAAGAGAACGCGAGCGGGCCGCGACATCGAGGTCAGAGCAAGGGACCGGGTGCTCCTCGAGCCCGGCCCCGCCCAAGTCTCCACGGAGTTTCGCGGGCAGTTCGGGCGCCGGGAATCGAGGGCAGAAGTCGAGAGCCGCCATCGCGGCGAACGGAGCGATCTGGGCCAACCTCCCTGACTTTTCCGGCCCCGGCGCGGGCGAGGGGGGGCCTCGCCATGGGCCGGGAGACCCGCGCGGCGGGGGTCTCCGCGCGCCGAACGCGATAAGATCGCAAAAGGCGGCGTAGTGGAAGGCGCGCCGGGGCCCAGCTGCGCCCGCGGGTCGCAGCCCCAGCCTCGAGTGCAAAGACGGCCCGTGGGCGCAGCCATCGCGGAGACGGCGACGACCCAGAAGGCCCCAAGGAGCAGCCCAGCGCAAAGGCCCGTCGGATCGAGAAAGCAAGCCAAAACCAACCGGTTGGCGGCGCGCGCTCGCCTGCATGGGCGAGCGCCAACTCGGGGCGCGCAGGTCTGGGATCCGCTGGCTTCATTGAAAGTTGGAGGCAAGCTACCACAATGGGGAAGAAGAGGCGCCTCAGCATAGGGGTCGCGGGCGCGGGCCGTCGCTCGCGCAGATGCGCCCGCGCCGCAAGAGCGACGCCGCCGTGGCCGAAGCATCGCCAGAAGCGATTATGGCTGGCAGACGTGCTCGTCGACTTAAGCAAGGCGCGCACTACTGGCAACTGGATCGCAGAGGTGAGGGTCTACGAGGTGCTCGGCAGCTGGGAAGGGCCGCTCAAGCGCGCGTCGGACAGGTAGAATTTGAAGAAGCATAGGAAATTGATGCGCTGGCATGGGGCTGCCGACGTATGATCGTTGGCAGGACAGACGACGCATGCCGGCATGCGCGTCGCCAGCTCCTTCCAAGCTGCGAGTCACAAGTCGTTCGACGCGCGGGCCGAGAGAGCCGCGGGGGGCGGGGGGCTGACCTGGCGCGCAGATGGACAGGAGGCCCGGCCGGGGCCAGCGATGCGACGCCCCCAAACGGAACGGCTGCGAACATCCAGGACGCAGCGGGCGCACTCTGCAAGGAGGGGCTGCAGCAAATCCGGAATGCGATGATCCAGGGCCAGCTGCAGGACGGGAGCGGGATCCACATGTTCGAGCTGGCCCTGCCCGCGGCATCGCATGTGAGCACGTGGAGCAGGTCCTCCAAGCAGATCGCCGCGTTGGGATCGGACTCCTGCCACCCCGCGTGGTTCACGCAGCTGCCGGGCGACGCCCTCGATCACTTGGGCGGGCTCCTGGCCGCGATGGAGCAGGCGGGGCAGAAGCCGCTGCGATCGGTCACGACATTAGTGTTCCTGGCCAAGCAGGGGGAAGGAGCGAGGCCCATAGCCCTCCTGGGCCGCTTCATTAGAGTCTGGGCCAAGGAGCGACGGGCTCAGGTGCCAGCGCGAGATTAACAACTCCACCGCGCTCGCATCCGCAACGCGAGGGGTCGCGCGGCCGAACGCGCTGCCGGGAGTTGGGATCGAAGGTCCGCATGCTCGCTGCCCCGGCGCAGCTGGGCATGATCACGGCGCGCGAGAAGATCGGGCGCGGCGAGCTGCGGGGAGAAGCCAGGGGCTGCAGAGGCCACGTAGTCTTGCGCACGGCCAGCTGGGGCGCATGCTAGAGAACGAAGGTGCAAGGTCGAAGACGCGATGTCCGGCCTAGCTGAGATAAACTGCAGCATCCAGGCAGAATGCGGCTTCGCCGCGCCGCGGCTGAAAATCTTCACTCGCCGCAGCCAGCGCAAGGTCACGCGTGGATACCTGAGCGTCATGTTGCGCGCGTTCGCGGATGAGATCACCACGTTATGCGCTGGGGTGCGCTGATAGCCATTCAACAGGACATCACAGAAGTTGCCATGTTTACTGGGTTGGCTGAGAGGTTTCGGTTTTTTGATCCACCCAAGTCCGTCCTCGCGGTCAAGGAGATGTGCGCTGGCAGAAAGATGCTCAACGCGGTTGAAGACAGGGCTGGGCTCCAGCGTCAGGCAAGCAAGCGCGACGGGCACCAGGGCGTGGACTTGGTGGTGCGAGCGCAACGAAGGGCCAAGGTCATCCAGGCGAACCTGTCCGAGCAGGTGGGCAGGCTACACAGAGTCACATGCACGAGGGCGCGGGGGGCGGTCGCGAGCAAGGCGGGCAGGATGGGCCCACAGCTTGCCGCGGACTTCGAGGCCAGCGCTTTGGGCAGGAGTGACTCGCAGCTACAGACGACGCGCGCAGCAGTCAGGGCAAGCGCGTTCCCGGACGCGGCTTGGAGATCGCTCGCGCGATCGCTCTTGCTTGGAAAGATGGGCACGACGCAGCGAGCGCGGTCAGCTGCGACGCATACTGGGTGGGCCAGACCCCGCGTGCATGGGAAGAGCGCCGACCACGGCGCCGCGAGGTGCGCTGGACAACGACGAGAGTTTTCAGCGGGCAAGGGTGCACATGTGGACGTGAA